TGTCACATTTTCTACCCTCTATTTCTTGGCTTTCAAACATAAATGTGAACCGTGTTGTCATCATATACTACAATCCACGAATGCAGTATCACATTAATCCAAAGGGACAGACAGACATATCCAAGAGAAAGGTCCTTCCCACAAACTCTTTATGTTTGAGTCCCCACTGTACATTAACTGCTTATTGCCTCTTCAAACAACAGAGACCTAGGCACCTAGCAGCTCTTGTGCTCCTTTTCCCTGGCATCAAACATCAGTTACTGTGTTCTCAACTTGTTCAACTACTTAGGAGCTCACTCCTTCAGCCCCAGAAAAGGTTCAACAGAGCTCCTCTGAAACGTAATCCACATCAGTAATGACTGGTTGCTCAGGTGGTGTGTGTGTGTGATTCAACACAGGCTACAGCTGTAAGTTGCAGAAGTCCTACCAAATATATAACATCCTGTGCATTTCATTATTACTCCTGACATTAGCTAGACAATTATACCGTAGAAACATAAGGCATTTGGCTTTATGCTTGCATACAGTTCTTGAATTACATGTGCAATGAATTAGACATGGATGGTGACAGGCAAGATTGTTCTGAACTAATGCAGGCATTTGTTTTTATTTTTATTTGGTTCTAAAAGCTTCTAAATTTTACTGGTGAAAAAAGTGCTTTGTTTGCTGAGAGTTATATTTTCGGAACATACTGTTTTGTAGTAGTCCTTATTTCGCATTAGAAGAGAGGTTCAGATACAGGAGAAAATCTTTAAGACTGAATCTTTAAAGGGTGCTGTGTTTCCTGATGCAAATCAGCATTTCTTAAAAAGGAGTCTGTTGCTTCCTTCAAGCTTCAAAAGGCATGGATTTAAATACTGAGCTATTTAAAAACTATTTATGTCCAGGGGAAAAAAAGGGAATAGTTGGTACACCCAGTACTGCAGCTGCTCTGACATAAATGCGAGCACTGATCTGTTACATTTTTCAGTTTTGACACAGTAAACAAGAATGTCCCTGTCAACCTCTCTCCCCTCTGATGAATCTGGCTGACCTATGTCCATTCTCTTGAAGTTTGTGAAAGCGGAGCAGCAACAAATTTAACTTAAAAGCACATGTTTAAGTCAGCTCTTGTTTCCAAGAGGAGGTGAGGAAGAACAGAAAAAAACCCAAGAAACAGAAAGTCAAAAGAGCAAAAGAACATAGGCCCAAAAAGACATTGATTTTCAGAATGGAGAGGGATACGAAGGGATTTTTATTTTAAGTATTAACTCATTGGCTCAGGGACCCATGCAAGAATGGCAGAAATTAACACGAGTTTAAATAGCAGACTAGAATTTCGTTTAATACACACAGGAAATAAACTAACAAAGCATAAACTGCATTCAAAGCACAAACACACAGTAACTTACTTAATTCCCCATCACGGTATGTGAAAAAATCCTTATTTTTTAAGTCGCAGCACACCTTAGGAAACATATGCTGAATGCTAAGGTCTTAATTCCTTCCCTACCTCAATGTCCAAGTTCCTTCCTGGTGTCTCCCACTGCAGGTCAACTGTCATCTCCTTTCCCCTTTTCCTTGTCTAGTCCACACATTCACTCATGTTCCATGAAACTGCTGGAAAAGAAAATACTACCTATTGCAGACACCTTCCACTTCCTGCACCACTAAGAAAGCATAACACTTTTTTGTATTGCTTTTCAAACTTTTTCATGAAAAATTTATTTTTGGTTACTGCAACTGAAGGCAATCTATGCCACAGCAGAACTGCTGCTGTGCTACTAGCTAGCATTCACGGATGGACAAGTCAGCAGTGGTTGCTAGGAAACACACGGGGCTCCAGTCCTTCCTCCATGGCCTTTTTACAACAGTGTACCACAGGGAAAGTTGAGATGGCACACAGCAGTACAGCACTCAAGCTGGCTCTGCTTTCACATCATAGATCAAAACTAGTTCAAACCCTACCTGAAAATTTCCTTCTAAGTATGGCCATTCTCAAGACAAATAAAAACAAACTAAAGCACCAAATAGGAGCCGACAAACACACAATGTAATTGCACAGAAAACTTGTACTAGAGTCACAAGCATATATGCAATAATGCCTTTAGTGAAGCCTTGATGCTCATTGCTATTCCAAAGTAGAGACTTGCTATCTTTCCCCCCCTCCAGATCTTGCCTAACAGAATAAATAGTATCTCTTACACCAGAAGCATGTACAGACATCTCCACAACAGTGATCAAGTCTCAGTTCTGCAATGTCAGAGCAGCTCGGAAAGGTCAAGTCAGCTTGGTCAAGCTCAAAGTTAATGTCAAGGCTTAAGCAAAAGACCTGAGCTGTGTGCACACAGCTCTGTATACCGGGTGCAGTAAATTATTATGTGGCAGGTCACTCCAGACACACACATTACAGCTGAAAGACAACTATGACTGCAGAAAATACAGATCCAGCTGGGCAGGGTTCTGTTCTGGCTATGTGAAGCCACTCCTGGAGCTGTTCACTGCCTCCATGTGCTCAGCACGGTGCTCCCTCATCACAGAGCAGTTACTCATGTGAAGCTTCAGTTTGCTCTCAACAAGAAACAAAAGTCAAATTATTTTTCTCCCATAAAGCAAGTGAACTTTTCATCTGTAAAATTAAGCTCCAGTATCAAGACTAGAACACAACACTCTACCACCTAACTCTTAATGAGTGATTTTTCCAGTAAAGAAGGTACATAGTTAGGAGAAATATTGAGTGGCTACTAATCAAGGTGAGCTACTCAGCCATTTAGTCTGGAGTCCATCTGGAAAACATGCATAAAGAACTGAAACACAGTAGGGGAACAGAAACTGCCTGCAGGTCAGAAAGGCCACAGGATTTTCTTCTACAGAAAAGAAGAAAGGTATCTTAAGCAGAAACACTATCAAAATGTACCTTATCTCACAGATGCCTGCTCTGTGTCACAAAACCCAGATTTGAGTAATTTGACCAGCAATGTCTTAGGTCTGTGTTTCTAGGCAATAATTTCTTCATGGAAAAGATTTCAACTGAGAATACGTTCAACACGTTCTAGTGGTATGAAACTATTAATGACTGATACAAACACAGGGAAGGACACTGAAGACCTCTGAAGTTTAGAAACAGTTTATCAAAGCAACAGCATGCTAGGTCTAATATACACAGTTGAAACATCTGAGTAGAAACGTTTCAAAGCAAATAGATGAGCAGGTATATGTACATTATCTGTATCCATTTTAATTCTCCAAAATTAGTCTGTAGAGGTCGATTTATAAGCAAGGATTAGTTTCAGGAAAGACCAACCAGGACAGAAACTACAAGCAAGTGACCTTGCTAAACACTCCTCACAAACTCTACAAAGCACTGATTGTTCACAGCCTTTAGCAAACAGTTCATGTATCAGGTGACTCAGTAGCTTTCAGCATAGTGCCTCCAATTCAAGTGGCAAACAGTACAGAGGGTTAACACCTTTTGTGCTAGTATCAAACATTTTGGCTTTTTCCATGGTTAGTCATATCAGTGGGCCAATGAGAATTTAACAATAATCACTTCACACACACTGCAGCTCTGAAACACATAAGAAAATACATGCTCAGTATAAAAGGGAATCCAACACTTGGGAAAGCCTGTAAATATATTCCTTTGTCCAGGTGTTCATTCAAAGGCAGTCATAATCCGAGCATCAAGAAATTTCAAAATACTTGACATAACAAGAAGCTTATATACAGCAATTGTACTTCTGAGTACTTTCCTGTTTCAGTATCAGGTACTTTTAAAATACTTGATAGAGCTTTTAACACTGTGTAGTTCTTAGCACACACTAACTTGACCAGCCTCCTGGAAAGGTCTGTTACTAGGAGGGCCCTTCTACATGCACTGGAATCTTCTCCCTGCTGACACGCTTTCAATGAACCACTGCACTGTCATTTAACAGATTTTTAGGAGCCTCAATTATTCTAAAAGAACAGTAAACAGAGGTTAGCAGGGCCTACAGAGCAAAGGCCTAAGAAGCATTTTCTTTCAAGCATTTGGTGTAGGTGTACCACTAACAGAGTATTGGTTAACCGACAAAGGTTTTAAATGCACCAGCTCCACCAAAGAACATTTTAGGTTGAAACCTCTGAAATTCGTTTATGAAACGTCTCAGATAGGCTTACAACAGAAAACCCAGCAAAGATAAAACTGAATTTCAACAAGAGCAACTCACTCAGGCCCACTTCAGAACACCAATGTAAATGTGAAATAACTGAGTGGATCCTGTTTCTCCCTTCCTTGACACTAGAACAGCACACACCCGGTTATGCAATAAGCCACTTCCAGGTTAAACGCAGCAGACATATTTTGGCTGAGTTGCCATACAATCAGACCTGTGCCAGATCAGGTACAAGGCAGGCAGCAAGAGCAACTCCCCCCTCTCAGCAGCAGCCAGCTATGGTGATGCTTCAGCCAAGAGAACACAAGGCTGCCACTGACAGAAAGAGGCCTCTTCTTTCCCATCATCTATTTCCACATTCTCCCTACATCAACTCCAGCAACTGCCTTGGGTTGGACAGAGTATGGCTTAAGTAGGCAGAGCAGCAGGTGAATCCCCCCTCCCTCTCCACATAGCTCATGAAATTATATCCTGCAAGGGCATGAAAACAAATGAGATTATTGCAACATTAAACAAAATGCCACTACTCATAGCATATTTTTATCTCTATTTTCTTCAGAAACAGAATCCTTCTCTACGCCTCCCTCAACTGAAGCTTCAGATCTTGGAATCTTAATAATTAACTCCTGCTTTAATCCAAATATATTCTCGGTGCTTCTTTATAAAGGAACTGCTTTATTTCAGTCATGGCCTCCATCACAAAGTGACCTTCATAAATATTTAAAAGCTTTACCACTTTCTATCATGTTATTCAGGGAATTCAAGGAAGTCAACATAATTATCCAGCTCAATAATAAAAGAGACAAGATAATGCCTCCTCCAATGCTGTCAGTCCTCTATTAAATATATATATATAAAATATATTACCTGGGAGATATGGTTGATGGAGGACTCCATCCTCCGTAGCTGGGATGCTTGGATGTCCAGCAGTTGCAATACATTGTTGGCCAGTGCATTGATCTGATAAGCAACACTGGCTAGAGACTGAGTTGTGTAGGCTTTGGTCTCTTCTAATGCTTTCCTTTTATCTGGAGCCTGTAAAGCAAAAGAACAAGATGTTTTCTTAAGGCCAGGAAAAGGGTGGGGGGTGGGGGAAAAGTCAGGAACAAAAAAAAAAAAAAAAATACAGCCTATATTTAGAAGAATCTGTAATCAAGATCTGACTGCAGTCACAGTACTCTATCTGCATCTACGTTTTAAGAATTCTCAATAAGGAACAAAAAAAAATTTTTTAAATATGTGACCATAATAACAGTACATGCCAAGAAAAAATTTATTCAGTAGAAAAAACAACACTATCATGATTTGTTGGAAGTAGAGTTTCTACAGCCTGTCCAATCCTTCATTTCCTGAAAAGTTTCCAGTTTCCCAGAAACACTGAAATGCAGCTTTTGCCATCTCCTTTGAGGTCACACAGCCTAAGCCAGTTGCAGACAAAAATATTTTCCCACAGTTGGGTGTCCCTACTGCACATGCCACCTACAAACCCAGTCCTCCAGTGATGCTGACTACTACTCCCACACTCCAGGAGATAGGTGAGCAGAGCAACAGGATGGCATGCACAGAGAACTACTGCATGCAGGAGTATTTGTGAAACTCTCTCCTCATACATAAGCTTAATAAAATTTCCTTGACAGCTGAGGAAGTTCATCCTTGAACGGGAAAACACATACTTTGAAGTGTCAGAAAAGAGCACAGTTTCCTCCTGGAAGACAGGGATATAAGGATCACTTTCCCACTGAAATCACACCTTGCCAAGGTAAAGTCCTCAAATATGTCCTCAGGCATTGCTCTCCACTGTCCAAGATCAGCGAGTGCTTACATGAATTGAATTGCATGGCTCAAGTAAGTCCCTTCTCACTAGCAGGATGGGAGGTACCAACACACCTGGAAAATCCACATGCCCATCGCTCTGAAGTACTCCCTGTATCACAGGTTGGGATCTGGCAGTGGAGGCCACAAACTTTATCTGTCACCCAACTTGCAAACTGCAGCTATGCAGAATTCTCTTCCCTTTGTAACAAAGGTGCTCTGCATAAGGAAGAATTTGCAGTACACGATGACTCAGTGCTAGCTTAGCTTCTTCCGCACTTTATTTGTGGAATAGTCAGTTATCTCAGTAACCAAAAGGAAAGGTTCATATTAATAGTCACTCCCAGCCGGACTTCTATTTTTATTGTTGATTTCTTTGAAAAACAGTCAACACACATTGTATTCAACAGTTACAGTATTAAGCAAAAAGTCAGGAAACAAAGAAATTCCATTTACATTCAAATGAGCCTGGTGTTTTCCGGTTTCCATGCACTCTTTCATTCTTAAATCCTGCCTCTTATTTCTTCAACTCAATATTTTAGTTTAACATCCAGAAGTGTTAAATTTGCCCCTGAGTTAAGGTATGAAAAGATACAGCAGCTAATAAAGAAACCTCCTCATCTCTCTTACTTTAAGGAGAAAATCAGAAGGCAATCCACTCGTACAGATTGTAAAGTTGCAGCATGACCTAAACACCGCACAGAAGCTACGCTGTGCTTTTTTATTATTTTTTATTTAAAACTTTTTAAACATGAGTGAATTCTCCCCAGTTTGGGAAATTTGTACATATTGTTGTTTAACATTTCATGTTTTGACATGTATTAGAACATCCTTCAAATGGATTCACATACAGACACCTTCTACGATGTGAAGCAGCAGGAACAGTTTTAAGCAACCTGTTGCCAAAACTTAGAAGAGCCATTCCATGTACTAAGGCCACACTATGCAAAATCCCATTTTTTAGTATTTCCAAATGCAAACAAAGCTACCTTTCGCCTAAAGAGAATATCAACATTTCTAACCATCAGAAAACATTAGCAAGAGTAGGTTTGCTTTTTTAGGATCTGTAAAACAACTACTACAGGTTCAAGAAGCAGATTTCCCAAAGCACCCTGGATTTCTCAAGAGGCATTTTAAACTTCAAATTGTCACTAGCAGTGGCATCAAAACCACTGTCTTACTGACCTGGAGCCTGAAGAAAAAAATTGATTATTTATACTTGAACTTCTACCACTCCAGACAAGCAGATAGCAGCTTCAGTGATATCAGAAATAAAAGCTTTACTGAACTAGACTCAACTGATAAGGCAGCAGCCAACAGGATTCTACCTTTAGATAAACTCAAGCGTAGATCTGTTGTCTTTACTCAAGAAGTTTTCTTATTACAAAGATTCAACTAAAAAGTGTCAGGCTGAACACAAACAGGTTATTAAGCCACAGCACTTAATTACGAGTGTTGTCAACTAAGAAAACTTCAGTGTACAGAAAGCTTCTTCTCTAATGATTTGTTCATCAAATGTCTTGCTCTCCTTTGCCCAAGCAGCTCGTGTTTTAGTTATTTGCTCAAGCTACTGGTTTCGCAGCAAGACTAGATGAAAATAGTTGTGATGTGGAATGTACTTCATGTCCTAGAAGAACAAGGTCAGAAATATTTTCAAGCTCTTCAGATAATTCAGGCAATTTCAATTTGCAGTTTAGCAGTTTAGATTAGAACTAACTTGACATGTAGTCTTTTGCATTTTTTAATTAGGACTGCTGGCATCTGCAAGATATAAGCTAGAAGCTTTACAGCAAGCAAAATATGGAGGGAAGAAGGCAAGAGCTATGTGGCAGGAACAGGAGGGAGCCAGGATTTCCAGCATTCTTCAACTGTTACTTTCATCTTCCTCTTTAAGCAAAAACTAAAAACAGTAGAGAAGGTAATGCACATGTCTACACATCTTCAGATACTTCAGTATGACACATGAGCACCAGTTAACTACTCAAATTTAAATATGACAAAGTGTCAACTGACTTGTTTTCCTAATAGTTCAGATATTATTTAATGGTCTCATATAAAAAGCTTCAAAGATACTGCTGTTTCTCAGTAATCCTTGATATAAATGGAAGTTTGAGTGTTCCTTCATAGCAAAGTGAATATAATTTAAAACCAGAATATCACAGCTTTTGAAGTTCCCCTCCTAAAGCAAGGTCCCACCTATATCTCCAGTTCACCCTTCACAATCATGTTACTATGGCAAAATTGTAGTTTGATATTGCTTTCACATAACTAGGTTTAATATTGAAAAAAAAAATTTATCCCATAATCCAAGTGGATACACAGAGAAACAGTTAAGCTAGCATGACATTCCACACTGCATACCACATATTTTTGTCAAACTGAAACTTCTATTACAAAGTTTCCCTAAAAGTTTACATAAATACTGTAGTCAAGTCAAAACGGATTCTGCACTCAAGCAACTGCCACAGTAAAAAGAATAAGAGCATATTTACTGGTTCTTCAGGGACACACCAAGGTCAAATGATGAGGAACCTGTCAATCACTTGACAGCTGATCTTTACAAGTCTCACAGTCAGTCAGCTTTTTCTTTCTTTTTCCCAACTGCCACCCACATAGGCACATCCCCACAACAGCGTCTGTTGAGTGTTCAAACCATCTGCCCACTCAGCTTTCTCTCTCTCCCAACTAGTTCCCACGATCTTCTAGTTCACACAGCATGCAACTACATGTAAAAGTTTCCTCCAAAAAACACATCAGTGCACACTACAAAACATCTTCAGAAGACAAACTTTTTCCTGCAAGCACACCAGCCCATACTTTCATTTCCCGTTCTCTGTCCTCTTTTCCCTCTTTCTACTCCAGTCCCATTAACTGTGCTTGAAACTCCCTTAAAGGTAACAACCACACCAGAAGAGCTGGCTCCAGTTGACACAGGTCAGAAAGCAGCTCATCAGAACACACCAAGACTGGCTGCCCTAGCAGGAGCAATTTGCCCCCTCAGTATGTGGCATGTGTTGTTCTACATTTTTCATCTTCAACTGTTGGCATATGTGCAAACTCAGGCACAGAAAAACGCACCCAGGATAAACTACTTCTCTGTGTGAGTGCTTCATCAGTCTCAGCAATCAAGCTAGAGGAACAGCTTTACACTCAAGTTTTATATGCCTTTGTTGTTACTGATTTAATGAATTCAACAATGCTGTACATTTGTGTTTGCTTCAGAAGTAAACACAAGATAACTTTAGCTTTACATTTTGGTTTTCTTTTTTAAAAAGACTTCCACCTTTCATTAATAGATTACAGAGTACAGAGAAAATTAAGATTACTACAGTCAGTTGCCACATGGATTTAACAATCTCTATCACGTACCAGCAGTCACAAAATTAAACTATCCTGTTCAGTCCTCAATATGCCCATTAATATGCACTTTTGTTCATGTTGTCATAGATCTATCTTTGACATTTACAGAATGCATACTTTCTGATAAGACAGATACTACAGTTGAGTTTCAAAGTCCTGCTTCCTTCACAAAGGTCTTGCCATTTTAGCTCAGAGATCTGGTCCCAAACTCAGGAATGACATTTAAAAACAAACAAACAAATCGCCACACCCATCCAAACTGTTTAGCTTAAGTTAGCTACAATCTACAGCACCTAATTTTTCAAATCAATTGGAAATAAATACTTTAATAGAATGATGAGCAAGAGCTTGCAACGTTATGTGGAACTTCCAGATGCATTTTGAGTTTGAAGTTGCTGCTTCAGTGATCTGATAAGGCTTTTAATAACTCAAAGCTGGTGTCAAGAGTATTTTACTTACAGTTACTTACAGTTCTGACTGCTAATAGCAAAAGGCTTAGGCATTTCTTAACTATTCACAAGGTATGTTCATCTTATACCAAGTATTCCACATCCAAGCTGCTGTGTTGTGTTCCAAAGGTTTAAATATACCATACACACTAGATAACATTTACATACTGAGGCAAAAGTCAACTTACATTGAATATAAAGAACTGTAAATCCAGAGATCACTACATACTAAGATAAGTAGGTAGCCCATGGATACAGGTTCCTCTTTAACCATAGTTCATGAAGCTTGTTAGACTGTTCTGTACACATGCTGCATGTTTTTTTGGCTGTTTTTGAGAGATTACATCAGAATCTCAAATGTAAATGAGAGAGGAAAGCCAAACTGGCAAGTTACAGCAGCAAGTGCCACAA